TTTTTGTTTGTTGTTTGTTCGTCTTTGCTTCCGTATTAATGTCTGTACGTTTGTTTGTTTGTTTGTCTCTGTTGCTTTTCTCGTTGTAGATGGGTCAACGACTTCACAATATGTTTGACGTTTGCTTCTCAGAGGGTCTGGGAGGTTCTGGGACGCTCTCGGAGGTTCTGGGAGTCTTCCAGAGCTGCCTGGTCGTCATCGCCGTCGTCGTCATTTCATCGTTTCGTCGTCGTCGTCGTCGACGACGTCGGCGTCGGCGGATGATCGAGGACCGAGTTTCGAGGCTCGCGGGGACAGAGCTTTTGATGGTTTTCTATTTTTTCTATGCCTCCGGTGGCCTCAGTGGACCCCCAGAGGCTTCTTGGGACCTCTGGGCGCTGTTCGTCGTCGTCGTCGTCGTCGTCATCGTCGTCGTCATCGTCAGTGTCGTCCTCGAAGGGGCCGGGTTAGGTCACGGTTTGCGCCTGCGGTGGATCTGTGGGAGGGGCCCAGCAGTGTTTGGGCTGGGAGTGGCTTGGGACTACGACGATGACGACGATGACGACGACGACGGCGGCGGCGGCGGCGACGGCGACGAAGACGACGACGGCGGCGGCGGCGGCGGTGGCGACGACGACGACGACGACGGCGGCGAGCGACATCGTCCAGAGGCTTCTGGAGGTCTCTGTATGTTCACATAGGTTGTGTGTGCGCAGGCGATGCGAAGTACCCAGACATTGAGGCGTTTTGGTAACACAGGCGCTGCGGGTTGTGGGGCGCCCGGCTGCTGTGGTGTACGCCGGCACTGTGGTGTGCACATGCGCTGCGATGCGCACCTATGCTGCAACAGCATCGGTGGTGTACAGAGGCATAGTGGTTAATTCAATCACTGTGGTGTACGCAGTCGCTGTGGCTCACACATGCGCCGTGGTGCAAACAGATGCTGCTGCAGCATGTGTGGTGCACTTCTGTACACAGGCATTGTGGTGCACATCGGCTTCGTGGTATGCACAGGCTGTGTGGGCCCCCCAAGAAATGGTCAGACACATTATTAATCACAAGAACATGTCATCTTGAACTTGATACGTTCGCTTTCTACGATTTTGAGGATTTGGGCCTCGTCTGGATCCTCAAGGTGTAAACAGGCTTTGTGGTGTACGCAGGCACTGTGGTGCACAGTGTGCTGAAGCAGCAGCTCTGGTGCACATCGGCGAGGTGGTGTGCACAAGCGCTCTGGTGCACACAGGCGCTGTGGTGCACGCGGCTGCCGTGGCGTACACCGGCAATGTGGTGTACACATGCGCTGTAGTACAGACAGATGCTGTTGCTGCAGCAGCTATGGTGTACAACGGCTTTGTGGTGTGCACAGTCATTGCTGTGAACACAGGCGCATGGGAGTCCACAGGTAGTGTTGCATACACGCACTGGTGCTCACAGGCATTGTGATGTCAACAGGCATTGTTGTGCACACGGGCTCTGTAGTGTATACCTAGACGACCACCCTTAAAGGCTGATAAGGAGGTCTTGGGGGGGAGGGAGGAACTAACCTCAGGAAGGCATTAAGAACCCCCCCCCCCCCTTGCCCCCCTTTTCCGGTGGATTATAACGCCCCCGCACCCTGGAGCGTTATGGCCGCACCGGAAGACCTGGCTGAGGGGACTCGGGGCCTAGCTAAGGCCTGCCAAGCGCAGATTTGCTCATGCCAAGCAGTTTAGCAGGGCCAAGCAGGGCTCCTGCTCTCTCAGCTTTTCGCAGGTCATCAGTTTGTCTTAGCTTTTCTTTGGTTTCCCTTCGCGTCCCCTCTGGGGATTATTGATATGGGACGGTGCTAAGATAACGCTGTCGGTGCGGGGCGGGGGGGATACCCTGGGATGGACTCCCCCCTAGGAAGGCCGACGAAAGCCTATTTCTCTAAGGGGGGTGTAAAAGGAATCGCAAAGGAAAAGGAGGAGGGGAGGCGTGCTTATCAGGGTTTCGCAGGGCTGAGCAAGGCTTAGCAAGGCTTAGCTGGGCGTAGCAGGGCTTAGCAGTGCTTGGCAGAGTTTAGCAACGCTTTGCAAGACGTGCCAGGGATAAAGGTGCACAGAGATCTGGGCTAGATCCTTGACATTCGTCACGACACCCTCTCTTGGCGTTAGTGGGGCGGCCGCCGATGGTGGATTTTGTTTTCTGTGTGCGGCGGGTGCTAAGTGTATCGTTCGGCTAAAACTGCCCGCCTGGAATATTGAGAAAACCGGGTGCTAAGAATAACCCAGGGGGGTTTCTTAATGCTTTCCTGAGGTTAACGTCTCACTCAGTCGATCTAATTACCGATCTCACTATCGATGTTACCATCGATCGTACTATCGATTGCGAAGGCGTTGCGGCCGGTGCCGCCGACCCTGAAGACGAAGAAGAGGAATAATAATATGTCGAGAGGGGGGAGGGCGGCGCGGTACGGGGTCGCGCGAGGGCAAGACGAGTTCTGGCGGCCTCATTCATGGGGGGGAAAGGGTCGATATTGGGGTTCGGGCTCCTCGTCTTGGGCCCCTCTTGGGGCCCTCTTGGGCCGTCTTGGGAGCCTATTGGGCCGTCTTGGCGCCATTTGGGGCTGTCTTGGGCGCCTCTTGGGAGACTCTTGAGCTGTCTTGGCGCTTTCTTGGGGGTCCTCTCGGGCTGTTTGTGACGCCGTGAAGGCCGAAACGTCGCATATGTTAAAAATGTAAGTTCCTCATGGAAAAGTAATGAGTGTGGCCTCTTGGGCCCTTCTTGGGGGTGCTCTTGGAGGGGGCCTGGGACGTCTTGGAGGCTTCTGGACGGTCTTGGGGCTATCCTGGGCGTCTTCGGCCGATCTTTGGGCGACTCGGGGCACTCTTGGGCCGTCTCGGGGGCCATCTTGGGCATCCGGACCTCATTTGGAGTGTTTTCGAGGTTTCGAGGCGGCCCGAGGAAAAACGAATCTGCCCCCCCCCCCCCTTCCCCCCCTTCCCCCCCCCCCCCCCCGGGACCCCCCCGGGACCCTCCCCGGGACCCCCCCCCTGGGGAAGGGATCAAAGGGAAGGGGCTTCCCTTCGAATCTACAACGGCATGACGGCAGGAGGGTACGGCCCAAAAAGAAAAAAGGGGGAAGGAAGAAGGGGGAGCGGCGAGAAATGATGCCGTTCATTTCATGTCGAATCTACAACGATGACGATCCGAACAACGAAAACACAACGATGTCAATCCGAACCACGAAGACGATTCGGACGTGGAAGCCCCTCGCACACGCCGACAGGGTCGGCGGATTCCACTATCAATCTTATTATCGATTTCACCATCAATGTCACTATCGATCTTACTATCGATTTCACTATCGCTCTCACTAGTGATCTCTGATCTCATTATCATTCGTACTATCTGTCTCACTACCGATCTCACTATCAATCTCACGATCGATCTCACTCGATCGATATCATTCTCGATCTCATTGGCTATCTCACAATCGATCTCACCATTCATTTCAATATCGATCTCACGATCCCTCTCAGTATCGACCTATCGATCTCACTATCGCTCTCACTATCGATCTCGTCATCGATCTCACGATCGGTTTCACTATCGATTTCAGGATCGATATCTCTATCGATATCTCCCTCGGTTTCATTATTGATATCACCACTCGATCTCACTACGGGACACCGGCGGGGCACCGGCGGGACACCGACGGGACACCGACGAGACACCGACGGGACACCGACGGGATACCGACGGACACAGACGGGACGGTGACACCGACGGGGCACCGACGGGACACAGGCGGAACACACGCGGGAAACCCCCCGCCACCGTCGGACAACCCAGGGGGGGCGGTCTTTTGGGCCGGCGGCGCCCTAGCCAGAGGAGGGTTCATCCTTCTCGCCCGCCCACGCAGCTTCCCCTCGCCCGCACGCCGACACGAACACGAAGACGAAACCGATTTCCTGGTGGGGAGCTCTCCGTTTCACTGCGATCTCACCCGCTCACTTCCGACAGTCGTTGGGGTGTATTCCAGCACTGTGTTGTGCAGAGGCAGTGTGGTGTGCAGAGACACTGGTGTACACAGGCATTGTTGTTCACACTGGCCTTCTTGTGCACACAGGCGCTGTGGTGTTCACAGGCGCTGTGGTGCACGCAGGCATCGTCGTGTACCCTCCGCGGGCATACTCTGTCGCGCACGGGCGCTGTGGCTACTCCCGGCAAGCTCATACGCAGTGCCTGGCTACCCCTGGCAACTGCAAACGCAGATGCAAGTCCTGTCCTGAGCCATTTCTTTAAATTCCCAGACGGCGCCGACGCGACTCGTGACGTTACTGGTGGGGGGGAGGGGACCGGGCCGGTAACGACCGCTACCTCGGATGATGTACAAACAGCAGGCTCACGTCGTGTCGACGCGGCGGGGAACCCCAGCGCGAGCGTTTAAGGCTGAACGCCGCCAGTGGCCCTGAATTGGCCGACATCGAGCGGTCTGCGCAGTCGGAAGGCCGCGAGCGTTCCAGGTTTAGTGATCCCTGCAGCGTCGGAAGCCAGCGCCGAGGCCGCCACTCCACAAGTCTGGCGTGCGAGTTTCAGCAGGGGCGGCTGGGGACGAGGGGGCAGAACTCTTGGAAGGGCACGTCCACGCTGCTGGTTCCGAGGTCTCCGACGGAGTGCTTGTTCCCAACGTGGGCTTTCACAGGGCTAGACTCCTTCCCCAGGGCCGGTTTCATCGACCATCAATCGGCGTCACCCCAACATTCACCCCAACATACTTATACTATAAGTGCGTCGCCCCCCCGGGGGCGAAACGCGCACCGAGAAATCTTACAGTATATGCGCCGTGGTGGGCGTTTTCTGGCCACACCGCTCGGGAAACGATATACTACAAGATGGGTACACTATATGTGCGGGTCGGACGCGCGCCTCCAAATAGGACGCATTGTATTAGTATTATGTCCGGCGTGTCCCCCTACAGGGGGATTTTCGACGAAAGATAAAACATACCCCCAAAATAGTCAAAGCATAATCCAAAAATAGTCTGGGGATTATTTTTTGAGCATTGTTTGACCATTTTGGCGTATTTTGTGACTATCTTTAATTTCTCGTCGAAAATCCCCCTGTTGGGGGACACGCCCGACTTAATGTTAGTATTAAGTCGGGCCTGTCCTCCTACAGGGGGATTTTGGAAGGAACAGAAATAATCAAAAAATACCCCAATACGGTCAACAAATATTCAAAAATGGTCCACAGGCTATTTTTTGACTATTTTTGAATTTTCCTCCTGTAGAGGGACAGGCCCGACTTAGTATTAGCATGTCCCCGTGCGTCCCAATCAATCGTTTTGGGATGGTCCCGGGGGCCCGGCGCGGGCCCCCGGAGGCCGAACATCGTCGGAGGGCTCGCGCCGTTGCTCCACCACGAGCTCGCCCCGAGCCGCCGGCACCAGGTCGCTTTTCCCCCACGGTGGTCCTGGCCGGCCTCGACAGTTCCTCGCGTAGTCTTAAGTCGGGCCTGTCCCTCTACGGGAGGAGTATTCAAAAATAGGCAAAAAATTGCCAGGGGACCACTTTTTTGTATTTTTGACTATTTGGAGGTATTTTTTGACAATTTTTCATTTTTCTTCCAAAATCCCCCTGTAGGAGGACAGGCCCGATTTGAGCGTAGTCCGGGGCGGTCTCCACACCCCAGCCACGGTCCAGGCCCCCCAGATGGGGTCGGATTAGGTGGGGTTAAGAGGGTCGCGTCGCATCGCCGATGCGTCGGCGATGCGGCTCGACGTCGAGCCCGATGTTCTCCATGCCGACGCCGCCGATGCATCCCCAATGCATCGCCGACGTCCCCGATGCATCCCTCGTGTGTCGCCGATGCACCGGCGATGCGGCGCGATCTTCCGACCCCGTCTACTCGGACCCCATCTGAGAGGCCCCTACAGGGGGCGCGGAGCGCTCGATAGTCGCCGCCAGAGGCGGCGCCAGAGCGTCGAGACCGCCCCGCACGAATCGGGGGTCCTGTGGAGGCCACCTGCGGGGCGGGTTCGTGCGCAGCCGGGAGCCTCACACCATCCACGCCGATGGTCTTGTGTGGCGCGTCCCCTGGGATCCGACGCTGCGGCAAGACTTGCACTGTGGCGAAGGCGAAGAGGCACCACCGGAGCGGTGGGCCCCAGCTCGCTCTTCGCCACTCGTGGGAGCCGGATCGGCCGAAGCCGGGCGCAGACTGTCGCCCGTGGTGCAAAGCCACGGCGGCGCCCGGGCCCGAGGGCCCCCGAGAGCCGCCCGCAGGCGGGCGCGCAGGGGTGCGTCTGGACGCGGTACGACGGCACGGCCTCGCAGGGCGCCGCGGTGGGCGCGGGCGAGGCCCTGGACGCGCAGCGGGCCCAGAGGGAGTGCGCGGAGCTGGGCGCCGCGTGCGGCGCGGTGACCTGCGCGGGGCGGCGGTGCACCGCGCGGGCCGCTTCGGCGCTGCGGAAGTCGCCCTCGGAGGCCTCCGCAGTCCGAAGGGCGGCAGACAGTCGGGAGCCTCGAGACGCGGGTCGACGCAAGCGGGGGTCAGCCAGAGCGCCCGATCTTGCGGGATCCTGCATGGCCAGGGTCGCATCGACCCGGGTTTGGGTGCAGGATCCTGCAGGGTCTTGCAGGGTCCTTCGCGTTGACCCGGGTTTGGGTGCAGGATTCTGCAGGATTTTGCAGGATTCTGCAAGGCCTGACTGAGCCGTGTCTGGATTGATTTGGGTCAGTGTGTCCCCGACATAAACATACAGTGGGGGCGCGCATTAAGAAACCATGCGCTTTTCATCCGGGAATCCTGGGTTTCTTCGCTCCTCGAGCTGCGCGGCGACTTCCGCGGCCGTTGAAGATGCTACTGCGTTTAGGGTGCTCCGGGTTTCTCCTCAGGTGCACCTCGCGCGCGGGTTTTCAGGGTTGTGTTTCTTGCGAGGGTTTCTTGCAGCCCGCGCTTGCACCGTACAGTCGAGCATCTGATTAAGAAACCTCCTGTCGAAAAACAGGGCCAGCGTTTCTTAACCAACAGGTAGGACAGTTGGCCCAGTGTCTTGAGCTCGTTCGCCCTTGCGGCGTGGACCACAGAACTGGGCCCACGCTTATTTCAAGACACCTCGGGGAAGCTGGCCCAGGCTTCTTTACCGATGTATTGCCTGGATCGTATGATCGGCCGTGAACTGTCGGAGGTCCGCGCGGATTTCTCGGATCTGCGCTGGACCGCCCTGTCACAGACAAAAGAGGCACTGGCATACGGTAGGTTTGTGTCGTGTCGACGCGGCGGCGACTCCGCGGGCCTTCCAGATTGAACGCCGCGAGTGGCCCAGAGTCGGCTAATATGGAACGACCTGGCGATCGAAATTCCGCCGATCGCTCAGGATTGAACGATCCACGCGTCGTCAGAAACCAACGCCACGGTCGTCACGACACGAACCTTCTGTACTCCGTCGGTCCTTCGGTGGCAGGAGGAGGAGGAAGAGGAGGAGGAGGAGGAGGAAGAGGAGGGGGAGGAGGAGGAAGAGGAGGAGTGGGGAGGCGGAGGAGGAGGAGGAGGAGGAGGAGGAGGAGGAGGAGGAGGAGGAGAAGGAGAGAGGAGGAGGAAGAGGAGGAGGAGGAAGAGGAGGAAGAGGAGGAGGAGGAGGAGGAGGAGGAGGAGGAGGGGGAGGAGGAGGAGGAGGAGGAGGAGGAGGCCGACAGAAACCAACGCCAGGGTCGCCACGACACGGACCTGCCGGAAACACCCTCGGCGGTTGCCCTGTGCGACGCCTCGGCGCTGCCCTCCTGGCAGCCGGGGGAGGCAGCTCCTCGGGCTGGCCCTCGGCGGCCCTCTCGGCGGCCTTGGGCGCGCGCCTTTGCGCCTCCCCGCCAGTCGCCGGTCGCCGCCGCCACCGTCGGCGATCGAAGAAGCACTAAGAAGAACATATCCGAGGCTCGAGATCCGAGATTGAAAGTCGGGACTGATATTCGAGAGTCGAAGACGAAAGAAGGAGCATGCGTGAACATCAACGTTTGGAGGTCAGCTCGGGGTTCTTGGATCTGCGCTGGACCGCCCCGGCGGCGCGTCTGCGAAGCTCAGAACAGGAAATCTATGATCCCGGGCCAATGCTTCACAGCCCCCCCACCACCAGATGGGAGGGGTACGTTCACAGGCACCCCCGCCAGATGGTATGGGGGGGGGGACGACGACGACGACGACGACGACGACGACGACGACGACGACGACGACGACAACGGCGACGACGACGACGACGACGACGACGGCGGCACTGCTGCCGTCGACGACGACGACGAAGACGCCGACTACGGCGGCGACGACGACGACGACGCCGACGCACACGCCGACGCCGACGCCGACGCCGACGGAAGACGGAGGAAGATGATGATGATGATGATGATGACGACGACGACGACGACGACGACGACGACGACGACGACGACGACGACGACGACGACGACGACGACGACGACGACGACGACGACGACGACGACGACGACGACGACGACGACGACGACTACGCCGACGCCGACGCCGACGCCGACTAAAGACTAAAGACGGAATCGATGACGCCGACGCCGACGCCGACTAAAGACGCCGACGACGACGACGACGGACCAACCCACACCCACAAGGGGCAAGGGGGGGGTCACGGGCACTCACCACCACGCCTCGCCCACAGGGCCACGACCAGAGAGGGGGGCATCTGCGAGGCCGTGCGATCTTGGTCTCGGAAGGCTCTTGGCGAAAGCAGCGGAACGTCCACCCTCCACCACGCCACGCCCACAGGCCCACGACCACAGGGGGGGGGGGGAGCGATCCCATTCGCAAGGCCTTCGCGAGGCTCACGGGCGTACCCATCCAGCGGGGGGGGGCTGATCCCATTAGCTTTGGGGTAGGGTGGGGGCAGCCCTGGATCATGTGTACTTACATGTTCGGAGGTCCGCGCGGACTTCTTGGATCTGCGCTGGACCGCCCTGGCGGCATCTTTTGGGATCGCACAGTTAAGAGCTTCCTACATGTAAACACAAGCTTTCGAAGGTCCGCGTGGGCTTCTTGCATCGGCGCTGGACCGCCCTGGCGGCATCTTTTAGGATCGCACAACGAAGAGGTTCCTACATGTAAACACGAGCTTTCGAAAGGTCCGCGCGGGCTTCCTGCATCGGCGCAGGACCGCCCTGGCGGCACGTGTTGGAATCGCACAACAATTTCACTACGTGTGAGAACAAACTGTCGGAGGTCCGCGCGGGCCTCTCGGATCTGCGCCGGACCGCCCTGGCGGCATGTCTCCGCGTCGTGCAGAAGAGCATGTCTTCGAGTCGCACCGGAGTTAAGAAGTCCATCGAAGCTGGGTCTCAATTTCTTAACAGAAGATTTCTTAACACAAGTTTTGAGTGTAAACACAGACTTTCGGAGGTCCGCGCGGACTTCTTGGATCAGCGCTGGGCCCCCCGGTCGGCGCCTCTGGGGCCACCCCTGGCGCGCGCTCCGCGCGCCAGGGAGGGGGGCTCGGCGCCGATCCAGGGAATCCGCGCAGACCTCCGAGAGTTTCTGTTCATGCTGTTTTGTCTTCCTCCTGTTTCCCGCCCCCTCCCCTTCCTCTCAAACATCCTCCTCCCTCTCCTCTTCCTCCTCCTCCCCACTCCTCCTCCTCCTTCTCCTCCTCCTCCTCATTCTCATCCTCATCCTCATCCTCATCCTCATCCTCATCCTCCGACCTCGTCGACGTGAGCGCTGCAGGAGCGGTGTCTCTCAGGGAGGCCTACTCGTTCACGTGCTGGTCGAACAATGCTCAATTAGACGCCGCTGAGCACGGGCTCCGTGCGCTACGCGGCGCTGCTGCGGCAGACTGTGGTGCTCGCAAGGGTCTTTTCGGTCAGATCCGTGCTGCGGAGCGTCGTGCTCGCTTGTGGGTTCCTATTGGGAGGAGGCTTGCTGTTCGCTACGACGACCAGGTTGTCGCTGATCCTGATGCTCGGGACCGCGTGCTGCATGATTTTTGGCGGCCTGTTTTCTCCGGTCGGCAGGCCGATCTTGCAGCTGGTGCTGATTATGCCCGCTGTCTCCTCACCCCGGGTTGATTTCTCGGACATCCCAGGCTTCTCGAAGGGCACCATGCGCAAGACTCTGCTCCGCGTCTGCACGTCTGCCCCGGGGCCAGGTGTGATTATATACGATACGTGGAGGTCGAGCCCTGCCGGGGTTGATACGCTGTGGCGTGCCCTACAAGATCTACTTGCTGGCGGCCAGTTACTCGATTCCTCGAACGACACGTGGCAGGTCGTGTTGCCAAAGGGCAGTGCCGATGATGATTGTCCTTCTGGGGAGGTGGTCAGAGCACCTGGGGGCTGTCGGATCTTGGGCCTGCGCAACACCGACTGGAATCTCCTGACTGCTACCGTTAACCATTCCTTGGCCAAGACATGCGTCCCTACCAACCAAAGGGGTTTATACCGGTTCGCAACTTCTTACTCACTGTGGTCGAGGTGGACGTAGTTAATCGCGGTCCGAGGCCCCTCTTGACATTCCATGCTTGCTCTCGCTGGATGTTGCTCAAGCCTTTCCTTCGTTGCACCAAGGTTGGATGAAGCTTTGTGTCTGGAGACGCCTCGGCTGCCCGCGGGCCATCGTGAATTTCATCACCACTTTGCACATGCCCTCCGGGGTTGCCGCTACGCTGATGGGCTTACGAGTAGCATCTTCCAGAGAGTCTGGCATCATAAAGGCTTGTGCGCTCTCTGGCACGCTGCTCGCCCTGTCCACAGCCGCTCTCGCGGAGGACTTGATCTGCTGCATCGACGCTGCCTGCCGACGTGGGATCACTCGTCTCTGTGACGCTGACAGTCACTAGGGAAACAGACAGTGACATAAACATAACAAACTCGGAGGTCCGCGCGGATTTCTCGGATCGGCACTGGACCCCCCTTCTTGGCGCGCGGAGCGCGCCAGGGGCGGCGCCGGAGGCGCCGCTGGGGGGCCCCAGCGCCGATCCGAGAAATCCGCGCGGACCTCCGAGTTTTCATGTTTATGTCACTGTTTTGTTCCCCGATTGACGGTGCGGTCACTGGCGTTGTGCAGCTTGCCCACGGCGAGCGCGCCATTTGCGTGGAGCGCGCACGGTCGCCGCGAGCGACCTCGAGCTGAGCACATGCGTTCTCATGCCCCGGTGCACGCCGCTGCCTCCGAGCAGGTGCGTGCGGCGACCCAGCGGCTCTCTGAGAGGAGTTCGTCCCTGGCCTCCTCGACTTCCAGACTGTCGACATGCTGGTTCGGCTTGAAAGTCGAGCCTGTCCGTCTACAAGGGAAGTACAGTCGGGGCCCTGAAGAAGGAACCCTTTTGGTTGGGGAGGGGCTCCGCGTTCCTTAAGTGTTTCGCAGCTTGCCTCAGGTTGTCCTTATGTCTTCGATAGGAATTCTAAGTTCAATTTATGGAAAAATGGGGCCTCGTTCCTTATCTAGGGTTCCTTGGGTCAACGCCCCGACTGTATCCAAAAAGAGGCAGGAGGACATGCCCGACCTAAGCTTAGGCCCTGCCGTGACGTTGTGGTGCCAGTGGGAGGGGCCGCTTGACGAGGTTGGCCATCGGGTGCGGGAGGCTGGTGCTACAGGGGCTCCGGCTCTGTCGCTTGCCCTTGGCGTGTGCTCTTCGAAGGCTGTGTCGGTGCTGTCTTGCCTCGCTCAGGTGCTTCCGCTGCCTCGCGGCACTCTTGGCTTGGAAGTTGGAAGCTTGGCTCATTTGTTCAGGATTCCTCTTGGTGTGTTTCGGCCTCAGCCATTGGCCTCAGATGAGTCCCTGGGGTGGCCCTCGAGCTCCGTCGTGGCTTACCTCGTGCGCTGCTGCGCTGGTGCGGACTTCGCGGGTCACGCTTGCTGATTTTCATGCGATTCTTGCTGATTGGAAAGCGACTCTGCGTGATCAGCACAACTATATCTATATACCTTTCTGGATTGTCGGTTCCGGGACGCTCTCGCCGCAGCTCTGACAGTGCACCTCTTTGGCCGAGTTCCTGGACTGTGCCGCGAACGTCTCTGGACCGACTGTCGGCATACCCAGCTCCTCACGGTTGCGAGCGCGGCGGTCTCCAGCCGGGCTGCCGGAGCAGAAGGACGCCCCAGACGTGCCAGATTCCAACGTGCTGCGCGTGCTGCCATGGACGCCCTCCTGGCCAGTCCTGGTGGCCTCCGCGACCTGTTTCTTCCAGCGCCTTTCCAAGTGGTGGCCCACGCAACGGCAGGCCTTGACAAGATTGGACTTGGATGCTGTGCAAGCTGTCTGGTCTAAGTGCCCTGTATCGTGGTCGTGGCCAGCCATCTGGCCTCTTTCCTCCTGCTGCTGCACGTCTTACCACATTCTCCGCGTTGGCGGCCGTGAGCGATGCAGATGCGGGTGCGCAGGCCCTGACCGTCTTCAGCATTACTCATATTGCCGGCGCTTGAAGGCCGCAGTCGACGAGGCGCTCAACGGACGCGAGCCGCCTCGATTCTTTGTGAAATAGGGTCTGCGAGAGCCGTCGATGGGGGCGGTCCAATACATGATGATTTCGCACAACGCGTAC